TCAAAACCCCCTTAAAACACACATTGCACGTATGATATGAACAAAAGCTGTATTAGTAATTGTGCTAGAAAAGCTACAAGGGGCTACCAGACTAGGTGTAAAACTAGGTTACTCAACCATCAGTCAGTGGAATTTCCTCTGAAACCCAGAGCACTACTGTGCAATAGCAGATCCAATAGCAGAGAAACCAGACTGCTTTATTTCATGCACCACATTCAGATAATTTGGTTACAGTGCAAATATCAGGGGGATATCGCACAAGTGTGCATGTTGTCAGTTTCTACGGGAATTATCGCCATCTCCAAGCTGCAAAGAGGAATTCTTTCTCATCAACTCGTGGGAACTGTAATTTGATGTAAAATACTGGTCTGATGATTATTCTGGTTCATATTAAACAGCACAGACTTGATGGGCAAACAGTCATCTTCTGTGTGGTAAAATTCTATAATTCTATGTTATTGGAAGGAGTATTTGTTAGTGAATCAGTCACATTATTCAGGAATCTGTTGGAAACATTAACATTTTTGACCCCATTGAAATGCATTGCATTCAGGGGCACTGTGTCAGCTCCAGGTGTGATACTGGTCTAAACAATGCGATACTTCAGCATCAAATACATATTTATGTGTCCTGGTGGAGGTGCAGAATCTGCACTGGAGTATGATTTCAGGAGCACTTTAATCAGCATTTTCAAATCAAATTCTGTGTAAAATTCCTTTACAAAGGAAAGCAAAAGAAACTGGAATGGCAATAAAAAAAAATCTGTGGGGAGGGGAAGATTAGAGCAGCAAGTGAAACCGTCACAAATGAGTGCTGAGTTAATGAGAGCTGTTTTCATTACATTGCTCATTAATTATTGCCAAAGACTACGTGGCTAAAAATAATTGGCATTTAACCCTGGACTGTAAAATTCTTTATTGCTTAAATTTCAGCTCTCAGGAGATTCAATTAAGGAGTCTCAACAAGTCTTTGTAAGTGATCTTTATTTCAAATAACACCTATTATTCAACTTCAGCGAAGCAATCAAATGAAAACTTTACCTACTCTGCTCTAATGTTTCGCTATAATGTGAGAAGGAAGGATTGAGCTAGGTCAAAACAAGGTAAATATTTTGATGCCACAAGCTCTCATTTCCTGCTTTATATATGTGCATAGGACTAAATAAATACAATCTTACAAGCATGATTTAGTATTCAAGTCTCGTTTTTCCTCCTCCAGGTCTTTTTACCTCCTCTCGAGGTGCTAAGTGATGCTGCCAGACACTTCCAAGGTGCTTGGCAGCTTTCTGGCCCTTGTCCAAGTGACCATACTTCATGTGGAAACATTGTGATTTCAGCATTGCCATCGCTTAAAATCCTTGACAATTCCCTTGATCCCAGGTGTCAGCCAGGCCTCAGTTGGTCACAGTGGTTTGGGTTCCTGCTCCCACATTGAGACGTAAGCTCATGCTCTGGGGTTGTACTGGTAGGAAAGCTGCATTGTCACATATGCTTGCTTTTGGATGAGACAATGAACATCTGCTTACTGGAATGGATATTAAAGATCCTATAGCCCTATTTGAAAAGAGAAGGGAGTTTCTGCTGGTGTGCTGATTGGCAGATAAATTGACCATTCACCTCATGGCCATTTATGGGACCTTACTGCACACAAAATGGCTGCTGTGTTTGCATACAAAAACAGTCACTGCACTTGATAGTAAGTACTGTGAAGCACCTTGACATGCTGATTTTAGGTGCTCTACAAATTCATGTTTTCTTTCTTTCATCTCATCAGTCTCATATTTGCTTTTTCTGCTTTACTCTGACCTGCTGGATTCAGACATTGCAGCCTAAAACATAATCATTTCAGATTGGAATCTCTACTCAGATTCTTTAACAACAACAACAACAAGATTCCATTTATAAAGCGCCTTTCACGTCAGGAGGACGTCCCAAGGCGCTGCACAGTTGGGTCAGGACCCGAGCAGGGGGGAAATGGTCAGGGTGAGGGGAGGGAAGGGAGGGAGCGAGGAGGGGGGAAATGGTCAGGGTGAGGGGAGGGAAGGGAGGGAGCGAGGAGGGGGTAGAGAGTCGAGAGGGGAGCTGAAGGCTCGGTCAAAGAGAAAGGTTTTGAGACCGGCCTTGAAGGAGGAAAGGGAGGAAGCTAGGCGAAGGCACTGGGGGATGGAGTTCCAGAGCCTGGGGGCTGAGAGGCTGAAGGCCCGACCACCAATGGTAGGGCGGTTGGGGCGGGGGACGTGGAGCAGACCGGAGCCGGAGGAACGGAGGGTACGGGCAGGTAGGTAGGGGGATAGTAGGTCAGAGAGGTAGGAGGGAGCAAGGCCGTGAATGGCCTTGTAGGTGAGGATGAGGATCTTGAAATCAATCCTCTGGGGGATGGGGAGCCAGTGGAGGCGAGCGAGGGTGGGAGTGATGTGGTCCGAAGCCTGGTGCGGGACAGTACACGAGCTGCAGAGTTCTGAATGACCTGCAGCTTGTGGAGGGAGGTGGCGGGAAGGCCGGCGAGGAGAGAGTTCCCATAGTCCAGCCTTGAGGTGACAAAGGCGTGGACCAGGGTTTCAGCAGCGTGAGGGGTGAGGTAGTGCCGTAGTCTGGCGATGTTCCGGAGGTGATGGAAGGCGGTGCCAGTTGTGGTGCGGATGAGAGGGAGAAAGGACAGCTCAGGGTCGAACAAAACGCCGAGGTTCCTGACTGGCTTTGAGAGGTGGAGAGTGCAGCCTTGGATGCTGATGGTGTCGGCGCCTGAGGTGCGGAGGCGCTGACGTGAGCCAATCAGGAGGGCCTCGGTTTTTCGCACGTTGAGCTGAAGAAAGTTGTCTCTCGTCCAGGACTCGATGTCGGACAGGCAGCTGTCAGGACATCGGTGGTCGTGGAGTTGAGAGTAGAGGAGGAAAGGTAGAGTTGGGTGTCATCCGCATACATGTGGAAGTTAACTCCATGTCTGCGGATGATGTCACCAAGGGGGAGCATATAGAGGGTGAAGAGGAGGGGACCGAGGACAGAGCCCTGAGGGACACCACATGAGACAGTGCGGGGGGTGGAGGAGAAGCCATTTGTAGAGACAAAGTGAAGACGGTGAGAAAGGTACGACCTAAACCACTCAAGGACAGTGCCTTGAAGGTTGAGGTGGGAGGACAAGCGGTGGAGTAGGATAGTGAATTGGTGGAAAGGAAAGAGCGCAGTTGGGAGGCGACAACTCTTTCCAGGACCTTGGAGAGAAAGGGGAGGTTGGAGATGGGCCGGTAGCTTGATAGCTGCGACGCATCAAGAGAGGGTTTCTTCAGGGTGGGCGTGATGGTGGCAGTTTTTAAGGGAATGGGGACAGAGCCAGAGGAGAGGGACAGGTTGACGATGTCGGTGATATGTGGGGCAAGAAAATGGAGCTGGGAGATAAGGAGTGGAGTGGGGATGGGGTCAAGGGAGCAGGTGGTTGGTTTCAGGGATAGGATGAGTTTGGTGACAGAGGGTGGGGAAACGGGTACAAAAGTGAGTAGGGGAGGATGGGTAGCAGTGGACTGTGGGAGTGAGGGGGTAGGGGGTTGGTGGATGTTGGAGGGGAAGTGACCGCGGAACGAATTCCCTTGATCTTGGATTCAAGGAAATCCAGCATCTCCTCGCAGTGAAGGTTGGAGGAGATGACCTGCGCGGGGTGGCGGGGGGGACGGAGGAGTCGGGTTGTGGTGGAAAACAATAGCCTGGGGTTGTTCTTCGCCTCCAGGATTATCCTGGAGTAGAAGGACGACTTGGCCGAGGCTAGAGTGGAGCAGTAAATTTTGAGGAGGTCCAGCCAGATTTGTCGGTGGACCGTTAGGCCAGATTTGACACAGCTGCGTTCAGCAGCCCGCACCTGGCTTTTCAGTGAGCGGAGGTGGGTGGTGTACCAGGGGGAGGAGCGGGAGTAGGAGACAGTCCTTTTAACCTAAAAGGAACCTTAATTAAGGAGTGGGGACTCCTTTAGATAACCAAAATTGCACCACATAAGTCACTCCGATTTGCAGCAATTCCACTCTGAAAGTATTCCATAGAATGGGAATCAACAAATGGAACAGGTTGCTAGTAGATAGTAGAGGCCAGGACACTAGACTCATTTAAAAGCAGCTTGTTGTTGAGGGGACGATAAGGTGGGTATTCTGGAAGGATGAGGTCAGATGGGCCAAAGGGCCTATTTCATCCAGACCAACCTTGTGATTGTGCGAATTTATCTTTCAGACCTGTCTATTTCCCTCTTGAAATCCACAATAGACGCTTACCGCCACCACTTTACTGATCAGGGAATTCTACTTCAGAGAGTTCTGAGATCAGAGCACTAAACCAAGAGATGTAAATCTGCACAAGGGCAACCATTTCTGGGCATTGGGCAATGTCATGTAAAGTTATTTTAACTTGGTAAACTCACATGGCAAAACAACCATCCTCTCCCCACCCTGCTGGTAAAACAACAACAACAACAAGATTCCATTTATAGAGCGCCTTTCACGTCAGGAGGACGTCCCAAGGCGCTGCACAGTTGGGTCATGACCCGAGCAGGGGGGAAATGGTCAGGGTGAGGGGAGGGAAGGGAGGGAGAGAGGAGGGGGGAAATGGTGAGGGGAGGGAAGGGAGGGAGCGAGGAGGAGGAAGAGAGTCGAGAGGGGAGCTGAAGGCACGGTCAAAGAGAAAGGTTTTGAGACCGGCCTTGAAGGAGGAAAGGGAGGAAGCAAGGCGAAGGCACTGGGGGATGGAGTTCCAGAGCCTGGGGGCTGAGAGGCTGAAGGCCCGACCACCGATGGTAGGGCGGTTGGGGCGGGGGACGTGGAGCAGACCGGAGCCAGAGGAACGGAGGGTACGGGCAGGTAGGTAGGGGGATAGTAGGTTGGAGAGGTAGGAGGGAGCAAGGCCGTGAATGGCCTTGTAGGTGAGGATGAGGATCTTGAAATCAATCCTCTGGGGATTGCACAGAAAGCACAGAACTCATACAGATACTGAACAGAAGGGGGACAAGAATATCAACGGGGTACATACATGCTTTCATTGGGCGAGATGCTGTCATTCAAGTAAGATCCATTTCTGTTTTCCATTTCTGCTAGCCTGCAATATAAAACATCAGCAATGTAAAGCCTATGAAGACTTTAAATTACTTGCCAAAAATACCCAATCCATCAAATGCAAGGATTATTATTTGTAGTTTCGTCAGTAAAGTTTTCCAACTTGATAGTAATCAATGCTTTTCAAGTTGTATTGACTCATTTATCTGCAGATAGAGCCAACCCACAAAATATGAGGTCAATTCCCTTTACAGTATATCCTCGAAAGCGTATTGAGATGTGATAAGATGCTATATCAAAAGCAAGGATTATTATTATTATATTCCCCTTTACTCAGGCTGAGTTATTGTTCAGATGGACTCCCTTGAAAACTTGGGATTGCTGGTGGAACAGAGGTGTTGGAGGGAATGTATTAAGAGTTGAAAATTGTGAATGGTGTTGATCAGAGAGATAGAGAAACTAATTCAACTGATTAGTGAGTTGAAGATTTTTACAAAAGAAAAAAAAATAGGCAGAGGTTAGAAGAAGCGTTTTTACAGAGAGTTGCTTGAGCAAGGAACGATTTATGGCTACTGAAGGTCAGCCCGTAACAGCAGCCCTGAGAGAAATGGATAAATATTTGGTGAAAAATATGAAGTGGCATGGGCAAAGAGCAGAGCAATAGGATCAGAGTAGATAGGCCCAGTGGGGGAGCTGGCACCAGCAAAGATAATGATGAGCTGAACGGTGCCTTCTCTGCTATAAACGTTCTAAAATTCTAGTAAAATTACATTTATTCTCTCAGTTTGCACCACAGATAATATAGTATTGCCAATCCAATGAAAACCCGTGTGGAGTATTGATATGCCCTGTACAGGATATCCAAGAGACTAATTGACGAGACTAAGCTCCTTGCACTTATCTAAGGGAATTCTCAACATAATAAATGCATTAACTGGATATTCTGATCAATAGAAAATGTAGTTCTTTTTCTACAGATGAAATACTAGTAAACTGAAGTGGGGCTGGAGTTTGGGATTAAGAAAGAGATAGACGTTTTAATTAACATTTGAATGATTGTGGAAAATCAATGTAAGGTTCTGAAGTTTTCTGACCCAGCAAAACTGGGAATGTCCAGTCATTGTCAATTGGGAGTGAGGTCCAAAAGAAAACCATCATGGATATGAAATCACTTTTAGAACACATTCATTACTTCAGCATTTTCAGAAGAACATAGCAACCAAACTAAGTTTCCTTGCTCCACACTCCTAATAATAATCCCTCCAAAAAACCAAAACAATAATAAATAGGTCATTTCAATCCAGACCGTTTGTGGACACTGCTGTGCGCAATTGGCTGCTGTGTTTTGCCCACAAATATACGGTCAATTCACTTTAGTCTATTTTGTGCAGCGCTTTGAGACGTCGAGAAGATGTGAAAAGCGCTATATCAAATGCAAGGATTATTATTTTTATATCTTATTATTAAACAGTGACCGCTGAGCTAAATCACTTTGAGACCATTCCAAACTTTAGGCACAATCCAAATCAATGCATCTCAACATCCGCAGATGATAAGTTGGAGGAAACCATGCAATTGGAAGAAGTAACTGAGATGTTACAAAGGGGTGGCTTAACAGGTTATGCAGCTGGACTGATGACTCAAAAAGGAAATCTCAATACAGATAAATGCAAGGTGCTGCATATAAGAAGTAGAAATAGGAGGCACATGTATTCCATGCACAGGATACAACTTGCCAAACAGAAAACTGAAAGAGACCGAGGGGAGCTAGTTGAAATATTCAAGATAGTTTGAGACAGAAGTAAGCAAGGCAAACAGGACACTTAGTTACATTGGTAAAGAAGGAGAGTTCAGATCTGCAGAATTGTGTTCAAGCTTGAATAGTGCTCTGATTAGGCTGCACCTAGAATACTCGTATGGTCCTAATCACTGAAACGTGAGGGCTCAGTGCAGGTCCAAGAGACACTGGAAAGATGAGTAATGGGAGTTTTCCCTTGTGACAGAGAGGTGAGCTATGAGGAGGGCTAGAAAACCTTGGGCTCTTCAGCCTGGAAAAGAGATGCAAGGGGACCTTATAGAGATGTTTACATTGAATTGAGCAAGTAAACCCAGAAGAATACTTGCAGATAATTCAATGCAGAAGGTCAAGAGAGCACAGGTTCGGGGCTATAAAAGATAATTTCTGGACACACACCAGAAAGTATGCATTTTTAGGTTACTTGATAGGTGGTTGAAGTCAGGTCAAATTTCTTAAATTAATTTAGCATACGTATATCTCAAAGGATGAGATCAAATGAGTGAAATTGCTTCTTTATGCATTTCTCTCAAGTGACAGTGTGAATCAAAGAGATTAAACTGTTGGCAAGTTCAAAGTTCCCACTGTTGGGAGTACGAGACACAGATTTTGATTTCCAAAATGTCTTTCTCTGTTCAAATAAACACATCTCTTTATATCCAGTTGGCATTTTAGCTTCCTCAGTTGTTATGCTTCCACAATCTCACTGCAATGTCACATGTCAAGATTTATATATTAGAACAACCCGAATACAGAATTGAGATGTAAAAGCTTGATAGCACATGTTCCTATTGAGATTTTGCTCTGGGTAATAACTAAGAATAACAGCATGCAGCTTCCGACATGCAACAGTAGGGGATGGGGAGGAAAAAAATATTTTAAAGCATTATACCACCATTCACTGTAGACACAATATAAATGTAACTTATTTGAAAATGCATATATTGCGGCTATTTGCATTTAAGGGTAAGACATATTTAAGCCCGTTTTGGGTTTATTGGCATTATTACTGTCAAAATTACCAAGTCCAAATTGTTCATTTGATTTTTTCTCTTACCTGCTAGCATAATGTTCAATACGTGAATGAGTATCATCATGTGATAACTGAGGGGATGAGGCTGGTCTGCAATGAAAAGAAAAATGAGCTGTTTACAGGAGCGTAGCATGGTATGAACCATTAAACTAAAGACTGCCAGATTCATCAGCTCCCACTGATAGCCATTTGTCAGAAATAGTTCCACGCAAATGTCTGAATACTCTGCAACACAACAAATTACACTAATGTAGCTGCAAATGACAGGACACCATTCCCATCCCTCTGGGTCTGTTTAGTTCTTATATCAAATATCACTCATGCCTATTTATACAGGTTGCATTGCAAATCGCAAAACAGAAAGTGATCCATGAGCTGAGAATTCATTTGAAGATACCGTTGTGATTTCAGTATACAATACACATCAAATTGGCCTTTGACCAAAATATTTACTTTTTACATATATGATAAAAAATATTTCAGAGTACACAAGTCCTCCATGACAATTTTGCAAATTTTGTTCAGTTCTACAATCAAGTTACGATTCAGTTGTAGGCGTAAAGGGGCTGCCCTGCCATTGCCATTTCAAAGTGTTATGACTTCCTTCCTGTTAAATTGGTTTATATACGCCTCCTAATGCAATTTTACCCACAAATTCAAAGGTCGCTCATGTCATTGTTGCTTATGGGATGTTGCTGGCACATGTTAGCTGCCATGTTTGCCTAGATAGTAACATTCACTTCTAATCGATTGTATTTTTTAAGCATTTTGAGATCTTTATTTTTATGTGATAGGTACTACATAAACAGACACTGCACTTTGTGACATCTTCTTGACATTAAAGGTGCTATATTAAATGTTAGATTATTGTGTTTTTTTAATAATACGTTTAATTTGTGTTTAACATCTCTTGTTCTCATATTTGTTAATTTGAGAACCCTTTGCATTGTTAAATTTTCCACCAGTACCATATCTTCGAGTTGTCTCAGACTTAATCTCCAGGTGGCATCACCATTTTACTATCCAATGCCAAATCTGTGTTTACTGTACCCTGACATCAATTTCAGTTTAATTAAAATGACTGACATTTTAAATAAAATGAATACAGGCTTATATTAATAGCACTGCACAGAAAGAATGGTTAGGATCTCATTCTGAAACTCATGACCTATTTATACTGCATAGTTAACATTAATTCAATCATAGTCGTCATTTTTAATGGACACTAAAAGTACCGTATAAATCAGACTTAAAAGGCATCAATTCAATTTGGAGCTGCTCTCATGAAACCTCAGGAATCAATACTTCGGCTTCACTGAAAATCAGAACTTCCCAGCAATTGCGTTATAAGCCAGGCGTGAATAAACAAATTCAAGCTTGTCAGGTCACCAGGGATGCCAGTTCCTGCCTGTGAGCAAAGCACAGGAAGTGACAAGTGACATTTTTTGCACAGAGCACACATCGTACAGGTGATGCCAGCAGCGACCTGAATGATGACCATTTAGTGCGAAACCAGCTGGTGATTGCCAGAAGCAGAACACTATCCAACTGGAGACCCATGCTATTAGTAAGGCAGTGTTATACCCAAGGACGCCCACCTGTATAAACTTATTTCCCTGCTCTGAATCATTCTACTGTTACAAGTAATGCAAATCAGTCCAGCAATAATGAGGCACTGCACCACTTCAGGGCTACATATAAATTACATGGTAAAATACCACCCATCTAATTCCACTTCATCCACAGAATAAATGTAGGAGCAGATTTATCGTAGACAACTATGCACCAGGGTGTCTCCTGATAAATGGAGCAGAATGCTCATCATACATATAGTAAAAATGTGGGCAGGACAGATGAACGCTTATGTGGCTATGTTTCAATCAAATTTTTTTTTCTTTTAGATTGTTTTAATTGACAATTATTGTGGTACAACACACAAGAGAAGGAATTCTATCGCGTCAAGTATAAAGGAAAACTTTGTCTTTGAACAGTAGATATTGCTTGTGTCCCACATTACATTAGTTTTTTCTAGCTGTGTCTGTTTTAACCATCTATAAAACAGATTGCCTCCATCATTCCACTAAAACTAAGTAATAGGGTAAATCCACAATTAGACACACAGTATCATTCAGCCTCAGAGCTTCACTGCAACAAAGTTTGGAAGGCAAAAGAACTAAGGAAACAAAGGCTGATATATGAATAATAAATAGATGTTCTCTTATATTTAATAGCAACGATTGACTGGTTGATCCGTCCTTCAGCACATCCTGAGCCACTGATGCAATAGGACCCAAGCAAATTGATCATTTAATTAATTATTCCCTTATTATTTCCAATATTGATTGTTGTGTACATATTTAGCTATGGAGGTGAATGCTACAGTTTAAATAATGATTGCAGTTTTTACAACTCAGGAAATAGCTAGAGTTTGAAAAGGTGCAACCTGTGAAGTTACCATCAGACAATTTTAAACAGCGTTAAAGTTACACTGCAGTCGAAGATTTGAAAGTCTTTCTTTTGGTATGCTTCTCTCCCATTCACCTCATTTTGCGTTTCTCCACACTATGCCCGGCTAGGATAGAGGTTGAATATCCTTTCTCTCAGTCTTTATTAGTTGTCATTGGAAAGTAACTGTAAAGCAGCTTGGGAAGGCTTGCCTAACAATCTTCACTAGCTATGGGAAAGCTTTATTTTGCTATCTAAGCAACTGCATTCTAAAAAAATAAAGTTCAAGTTAAAACAATGTAAAAATGACCAATTTATTAAACGGAAATGAATTCAACTGGAGTACAATTTGCGATGAGTGTGGGCATGTGTTCTCTTGTGAATTTGTCTGTGCGTTAAAAAGCTGCCATTCAGCGGAAAAAAATGATCATTGCTGGGATGAGACACTGAAGAAAGATTAAAGCCATGAAAGTCTGAATTTTAAATATGCATATCAACTTACCAAAATGTAAATAACCATAGAGGTCTCAATTTCGATATCCACATTAATTTCCTTTACAACAGTTTGTGAATATCAGATTACAAAAGTTTTGGTCAGTGATAGCAAATCCTGTCAGGAAGTCCAATAAAAGACAGGTGAGAAAGATGCCGATGGGAAAAGTCTGACAATTTACCTGCTCTTTGAACTTTGCTGACTTGATATTCATGATTTGCAGGCTATAAATAAACTTTACAATTTGATATTTGCAGACCAGTAAAGGCAATGTTTGTGAGTATCGCACTTTAGACTGAACTGTCACATAATACAATGATAGTTCTATTTTGTTGTGGGCGGAAGGAATTATGTGATATTAAAAGCTTTTATTAACAAGCTAAAAGTTCACATTAGATACATGCTGCTTTTTCAGGAGATTTAGAAAGGAGCCCAACAGTGTGCATTGATACAACCTAATTTTAAACAAAAAAGATCAAATTCTAATGAAACAGAAGTATCCTCAGGCTGCAATCATGTTTTAAAAAAAAGAAATAAATGAAGCAAGATGCAGCTGTGTACATCAGCAGAAGTACTCACTCATAATCTACTGGCCAGAAGTTGATCAGAGTAACAGGACTGGAAGACAAAAAGGTGAAGATGTAGCTAGAGGCAGCTGAAACTCAGCAGAAATGCATTAAGCACAAAATAAAGAAAAAAGTGGCAGCAAAACAGCAATGTGAATGGCTGTGAAAGCAGAAACAAGGGTTAAACAAATATTCCAAGCTCTCATGCAGCTGGTCTTGCTCTTGCAATACTTACTCATGGAAAAATTAAGGAAATTAGACCTTTTAGTGACATTCATAAAATTCATCAGGTAAAGAACAATGTCCTCAGTTACCAACAGAATGAAATGTGTGCAACATTGAAGCTGAAAATGTGATGGTCAGAAACTTGGCAGCATAAATGGCAGCTCACACACCAGGGAACGTGTGCTGGGACGCAAAGTGCATTTCCTACAAGGAATACATGTATGTGATTGTTGACTCGCAGGAACTTGGCTCTGACCCGCTTTGGAGCAGAGATCTTGTGAGCCAGCATGACGTACATGAGGTTCCCTAGAGGAGATGTACTTTATGCCTCAAGACCTATCTTCTGACATGGTGTGCCACTTACCCTGTTGTTACCTTGAAGAGCGTTTTTTTCCCCAACCCTAACAAATATACAATTCTGAATAAAGTAGCTAAAAGGGAAAAGTTAAATCTTTACCATGTTATTCCTTCAGATCTTGCTGCTCGTATCACATGGGACCTGGACAATGCTCACATTTATAAATTAAAGGACAAAATCAAGCCAACACGATGTTCCCATTCTGCTGCTCCTTATTGGGTAAATTGCAAATACTCTTAAGATGCCCAGGTTTGCTATCACTGTGAATATGTGCTTAAATTACATTCACCAGCAACTCTCCATTGGTGCAAATGTTACAGAATCACAGACAGTTTCCAATGCAGATCCATAGAGGATGTAACACAAGATTATATGGCACGAGTCACAATATACCTGTTGCAGGCTCGAACAGTACACAAATCAAGGGGAACACAACAACAACAAAAATCAACAAGCATTTATATAGCACCTTTCACTTGGGGCAGAGTCTCAACAACAGAATCACAGGACCTCGAGCAGAATTTTGTCAGCAGAGTCTGTGGGGCGAAAATTCCACTTGTGATGGGTTAAATGACATTTTGATAACTATTACCATATGATAAACGTGGAAATTGAGGCCAGTAGAAGACTAAAACAAATGATACTAAAAGTGGAGCACAATTGTAATCTTCCCATGTCCCTACCCCACCACCCACCCCATCACACACAGACTCTAGAAATAGCTATAAATAGGGTTAAGAGAATACCCTGGTTAACTGAACTTTTAAACCAGTGTCCTATAAGCCAGTAACTGGTTGGATGTGGTACATGTGGGCCGGCTTTACGCCGGACGTTTTCACACCTGGTCTGTTAGTAATCACTGCCGATACATTTATAAATGCTTTTTTTCCCCCAACTTTCTCCCACCTCTCCTGAGGGTGCTGGCTCTTACTATGGCACAGGTTGCTCGCCAACTAGATTTTCTGAGATGGGATCTTTTGGCAAGTTGTATGACCACGGGGGCATCAAGGCTAAGTTCAATACTGTCCTCTGACATTTGTATACACCCACCTTACAACAGGAGCCACTGGATAGTGATCATGAATAGGAAGGAAACTCTACCTGGCTCCCTCCCCTAGCCCAGGCTGATGTGTGCTGAACTGAGACAACCCTAATGCCCCGGGTGAGAGCAGAAATGGCCAGGTATTTAACCTGGTCCTCTCAAGGGTTTTTATGGTTCAGTGGACCAGTCAAGCTGTGCTTGGGGAGAACAGCATGATTCTACATTCATTGGCAATTTAAAAAAATGAAATGAATAGGCTGTACACTGGGAAATTCTCTCCATTTGTTATTAATGACCTTGGATAAGTATGTACATATTTAATCTGCTGCTTCAATGTTTTTTATGTTAATTTGGGATGTGCAAGTCATTAACAATATAAGTGTTATTCCACTTGTAGTTTTTACATGAAACAGACAGCAGCATGAATTGTTTCATAACTGTGCATTTTCTAGGAGATGCTTCCATTTAAACTGCATCTGCACCCGTACACAGTTGAAATGGTTAAAGCTGCAGCATTCTTGTTTGGTGGTCCACAGAGTCCAATTTTAAAACCATGTTGTACAAACCTTTCCCAGAGCTTTGTAATGATGATCCCAGCAGTATCATTGACATTTACATTCTGCAGATGACAGCAGTGTCACAGAATCCTGACGATTTAATCCCCACCCCAGTACAGTGAAAGAAAAATACTCTGCTCCAATATTTTTTTCAGCTGAAACACTGTGGAAATAAAATATGTGGCAAGGCTAATGCATGTTAATACTGATAAGGGACATAATTGTTTTATCATGCTGTTTAAGTAGAGCTGAGTTGGGAGATAGTGCAATTTTAAGTCTTGTAAACAGCCATATTTCATAATATACCAAGGGTTGTATTTAACATTCCATAATTAGCATTTTGCATGGCAACCTATCAGCACAATGGCTTTCTTACGCTGCTGCCTAATAATAAATTCTACTGCCTCTATTCGCATGACGTTTCCAATGCTTATGACCTTTAGCATTTTACACCAAAGCAGGAAAATATGGGCTAAGCTTCCAAAAGCTCCATAGCAATTCCACCCTCGGGAGATCTTTTTTGGGGATGTGTCCTCTTCATGAAGCCTAAGTAATTGATTTATTGCCAGGAATGAGAATAGTTGACAAAAGTAAGACATTGTACTGTGGCTGAACTTTTGTGGATTTTCTCATTCATAGTAATTTCATTCATTTCCCAGAGTCAGGCATCAATTTAAACGTCAGTAACCAGTTTTCAATGCGAGCTGGACATAAAGTGAGGCAAAAGGTCTATAAATTATATCACAGTTTAGACCATGTAGAAAATCCTGACAAAATATTATGAAGGTAGGAAAATAATAACAAGTGGTCGGATGGAGCAGCACTTAAACATATCAGGTCATGGTTAAGATATTCCTGTTGAAATTTTGTAAAGGCCTCCATAAGCGACAAGCTGTTAATGTTAGCCAGCTGTTGGAACAAAGAGCAGCGACCTACCCACACTACAATGGAGTGCCACTGATACGATTTCTGAACTGATCTCAAACCATGCTAAATTGGCAAGAGAAATTAGCTTTTAAAACAAAGGGGAATATCATGTGGGTTAATCCACAGACACATCCAGTGCCCAATTAAATGTCAATAACATGGTCAGAAAACACAAAAGAATGGAGAACAAAACACCAACTGCAAAACTGCCTCTGAAAATCTTCGGGATCAGATAGAGTCTTCTTGCATTTTTTGTGAATATATTTCCCTTGAATTTCATAACAAATTTTGCAAACTGGAGTTTGGTGTTAGCACAGAGACTTACAGGTCTTTGCTAATTGCTAATAAAACAATGTCAATAAAAAAATGGCAATTTGGATGCTCTGAAGTCAAAGAAAATGTTCTCTTGGCATTTTATCAAACTGTGGTAATATTTGTTGGAGCTTTAATGCATGACCATGTATCATGAACTTTCAGCGCCGGGGTTAAATCTGAGATATTCCTCAACACATTCCCTTTGCTAATTAAGACAATGAACCCATTAAGGAACCCTCCAAATGTTGACCGAAAATTTCAAAATGTGCAATCTGGAGTGAAAGAGCAAAGATTACCAATATTGCCTGCTTCATCTTATATTGAGTAGTCTAATCATTGTAGGGGCACAAGGTATTGTAAACTTAAGAGATTAGAGAAAGACTTCTATCAGTTTAAGAAGTAGCATCAAAAACACCAACATAACATAAAGCACATTGACCTGGCCATTTCAATTCTTGGACTAGTTTTATAGTGAACTGTTTTTCTTTTACGCATGGTACTGTAACCTCTTTCCTTACAGGCTCCATTTCCACAACAGCCTAGATGAACAAATATCCTTACCTCTTAACATAGCAATACTGGGACCTGACAATATGCTTGTGAAAATCTAGTCACCCGATCTTTATGCAGTTCTAAATGTTTCGATCAACCAACCATGACTTATGACTAACATCTAATCAGTTACTTTCAGCTTCTCAGCTGCTTAATGGTTTTAACACTTCAAGCTTTTGATTTCTGAGATGGACCTGAAATCATCACGCCATTCCTTGAGAAAAAAAATTCTGCAGTTTTCAATTGTAAAGAAAACTGAACGGTGTATTGCTTGGTCCTCAATAGTCATACAAGCGTTAAATAATATTTTTAAAGAGAACTGAACTTGGGATAAAGCTATTAATAAAAAACACTTGCAGCCTGGTTCCTACTCCTGATCACTGCCCACTGATTCCCGCTAGAAATTCACAATGCATTGACAGGGTTGCCTCAGTCACGAAACCACTTCCAAACACAGTATGCTGATACTTATTGGAATCACTACAAATGGCGCTTTTTTTCCACTAAGACTTTGGAATTTTCCCATCACAAATAAACAAGAAAGATTGCTCGATCCAGCATCAGGGTAAGTTAGACTCCATTACTACACCCACAGGAGAAACATAACCCCTGGGATGAAGAATACCTGAGGATGACCAGCAACTGGGGAATCATACTCCAGCATACTTTAGAAAAAGGAGGGAAGAAATTGACTGGAAAACAAAATCTGTGAAAATTGATGCTGGTTTACAACATCAAAACACATTCTTGTAAAGACCACGTATAAACCTTGACCATTGGAATTCATTTTTCATTGCGGTCATTGCCGGCCACTGAAACAAGCAAGAATGACTGCAACGTGAAAGCTTTTAGCCAGACATAAAGTGACGATACAAATATACACAAACCACTTCCATGCAGACATCCTTTTGTGTGTGCAACAAAATCAATTAAGAAATCCAAGACTGGAATGAATTTGGTCAAATGTGGAACAGTCCAGACTTCACTTTGGATTCAGCTTTCATTTCCTGTCCCCAAACCTTTTATTGTAGGATCACAAAATTCATTGAGTGTAAATACATTTCACATGTGCAATGCGGATACATGGAACGAGCAACTAAAGTGCTGTGGGAAAGCGTTGAATTACTGACCAGATTAGTCTGCAGGAGGGACTGCAGCTCTTTGTTAGTGTTAACTGTCCCCGATAATACTTACGTTTCTAAGTTGTCTCCCTCCAGGACCGTCTGAACGGGGAGATAGCCCATTCGAGGATGTTTTGCAAAGTACCTCTTGGTTCTGAACTTGTTCTTTAATACCTTGGCAAAATCTCGGACATCTTCTCCTGAAGTTGTCTGAAGGGAATAGATTAGCAAATTATATTCCATTCAACACCACTCACCTACCTGTTGCTGACACAAAATTTTATGTTAAAAAATCTCATGCTTAATGCTAACATTTAATAATTAAACAAAGCTCCATAGAAAGAAATATTGGTGCATCTCAGGCACAATGAAACAGGAATTACAAATAAGATTTTCATTCATCTTTACAAGCTAGACTTTAGGATTTTTGATTACAGTATATTTTCTATTTACTTGGCTATCGGTTTTTCACAACTGCATCAATTTCTAAGCATGGAAAGGACATTAAGTGAGCATACTTGTAGAATTGCCTTGGCCAATGTGTCACAGCGACTGCTCTCTAAACAATCAATTCCTGGTATAATTCTCATGAACATTAAAATCAAGGAGTTGGGCAACTTCTGAAGCATTCCCCACCTAATTTTTAAGATAATCTTTTGCAACATAAAGAAAATGTTGACTATTAAAAAGTAGCTCACAGCTGGCTGCACAGTACATTAGCCTTAACTGCTCTAATGAACTTGATGGAAGGCCCTCAAATTTCACATGACAATGAGTTACATACAAGGTTCCACATATCTTGCAAACACATAGGAGGAAATAAGGTTGACTGTACATCGGTCACGTTAGTAGGACAGTTTTCAAGTTATCACATCTACAGCTCTTAATGAGGCTTGAAATGCAAGTATTCAAGATTTTGATAGAGGGCACATTTTGCAATGGTGTGGAAATAATGATTTTGTACAGCACTTTCTTTACTAAGCTGTTGAGTAAAGGAAGAAATCTTCTTTGCAGCCTCATTGCAGGTAAAACAGACCAAGAACTGAAACAAAGCATCTGAAACAAATAATAATATTAATAATAATCCTTGCATTTGATATAGCGCTTTATCACGTCTTCAAGGTGGCTCAAAGTGCTTCACAGAATATACTGTAAAGTGAATTGACTGTATTTTGTGGGCGAAATGCGGCAGCTAATTGTGCACAGCAGTGTCCCACAAACAGTCTGGATTGAAGTGACCAATTTTTTTTTAAAATTATTACCTCCGGAAAAGCGATCCACCAATCGACTAACAACCGGGTTCCTACTTACTGCTAGGTGAACAGAGGCGTGTGGAGTAAGGAAACTTGCCCGACATTTCGCCCTGCCAGGAATAAAACCCAGGTCCTCTCACTTGCAAGGCGAGTGCTCTAACTACTAAGCTACAGGACTCCAATAAAATACAAGGTTTTTTTGCATGGACACTATCAATGTTGCTTTTTCATTGATCTACTAGTAGATGTTTCATTGGCACAGCAAGGAACCTTCCCAAAGTGCCTAAAGGGTGGGGGAATGAACTTCCTCTCCATTTCTACTATCACACTTAACTGATAGTTGCGTTAATTGCTTTTCACAGCTGGAGTCCTTCCCAGTCCAACCTGGGTCATTCAGAACAAGGAGGAGAAGCTAGTCAAAGTGGGAAACTTGCTTCCTTTCCTGCCTCCAATAGAGAGATTTCCCTTCCACAAAAGGAAAGGGACATGCCTTTCTGCACCCTTTCCTGTCCACCTCACAAGTCGATATTTTTGATCAGATTTCGAGAATGTAAATGTAAGGATTATTATTTTCCTCATTATTACTTTCCTTTCTGAATGTATTTTTTTTACACGACAAACCTACCGGTGTGCAGTATTCCACCATTGGATAATGCATTTTATGTCCTTTCGCTGTTCGACCAGAAAAGAAGCAACTTTGGCAGACATCATAGTTAAAGTGCTTTAAACTTCGGTACCTGAAAGCAAAAGGTGGGTAAGAGTAAATGACGTAGATACGAATGGGATACAGGCTCGGTCCAAAATTTCAAGAAATAATATATAGGTTAAAAAGAACAATCCCCTGCTTCGCACTAGTGAGTCCAGAAATCAGCAGATTTGGGAGGTAAATGCATGACTAGAAACATAACATAGGAGGGAATCTTTTAGATTTCTAGGACCATGGATCCCGTTCAGGAAAAAGATGTAATTATGAGACAGTCTGGACCTAAATTCAGCTTTACGCCCTCCAAGACACCACTCTGCATGAAGGTCGCTATATAAATGCAAGCTGAAGCTGTTGAAACTAATATCCTAATAGGGAAGTTAATCAGAGCTGTGGTAGAGTGGGCAGCCTGAAAGTGAGGTTTAGGTGACTAGGTGATATGGAAATAGAAGTGTTCAGGGGTTATACATAAAATGCTAAAAAAAAGGAAGGGACACAATAATCATATTATGCCAAGTAATTGAAAACTGAAATGTTTGTTAAAAGATAGCACCTTTCATTTCTGGAGAATGACTCAAAGCACTTCACCGGATTTACTGCGTGTATTTGTAAGCAAACATGGCGGTTATATTGCACATAGCGATGTCCCTCAAACAACCATGAAACAGATGACCAATTTTATTTGGGGATTGCTAGCTAGGACACCGGGAGAAATTCCATCCTCTTTTCGAGTAGTGCCATGAGAACTTTAATGTCCACCTGAACAGGCAGATGAGATCACAATTTAACATCTCATTTGAAGGACGGCACTTTAGAGTTCAAGTCTTTACGTGAGGTTTGAACCACAACCTTCTCACTTGGAGACGAGCGTCCTACCAACTGAGCCAAGCTGACATTGATTGAAATAGAAAATAATGAGATGATAGCAGTAACTGAAACATAGCTATTGCAGGGTCAGGACCAGCAATTAAACAGACCTCAGTATAAAACAGGAGGGAGGGAGTGAGGAAAGGGAGCATAGTTGTATTAATTAGGAACAATGCATATAGCACTGGAACCTAAGGTTTCAGTAAATAAGTGATGTGGATAGACTCCCTTTGGATTGATCTGAGGAACAGTAAAGGAGCAGTCACATTACTAGGAGCACACTATCCTTTTAGGTGAAATTATTTTGACGAGGTAAGGTTTCAAAATTATAAATACTACAGTTGGGTTAAACACATCAAAATACTGAAAATTTGTGAACACAAGAGTCTATGTGATGAATATGCCTGTTAAATGATTATCTGAACAACAGATTTCTCAAAGTGGCTGTCCCCTTGCTTGGATTTAGGAGTTACATTTAAAATTTCTGGTACGACTTTCACAACTCATTAAAACCACTTGACTGTCTGTATAATCACTAGTTAATGCCTATCTCACACTTTTCCTTTGCATACATCTGGCACTTGCAAACAGAAAGTCACAGTAAAATGGCACACAATGTCACTGAAATGAATGAACAAACATTTAGGACTCTTAATGGAATAATTATCTAAATGGATTTTGTGTATTGCAGACCTGAGTTGCATATAAATGGATTTTCTTTGTAATATTATAGTTAATCTCAATAGTCTGTTAATCTGGTGTTTGCAATGTGTGTTGCATTATAATTAGCCAGTGGAGGCATTTTGTATTGTTTATATTAAGTATTTTAATACCCTATTAAAACATTCTCTATTTTGCAGTTTTTGTAATGATTTCTAATGTAGCTGATGGAATATACTTTGGGCCCCGAGGGAAGCAAGGTACTGGAAAAGTAAAAAAGCTTTTATCTAGAGAGTATGGCACAAAAACAAACCACTCGGCATACATAACGTATTAGGCAAAAGTACTGATCCCCACACTTGCACAATAATGATTTGTTGCACTCATTCCTAAATTTGTATTCGCTCTAACTTAATCCTTCCAATTGTGAAATCATTCACAGTGCTTGGCTCTGTTGTCTATTGTGTTTCTCTAGCAGTATCAAACCTTACTGCTATCAGAGTTGTGAGGAGAATACTGGATCTGGGATAGTAACCTTTCTGAAGGCTGTGTGCTGGCTGTCGGTGAGGTAGCAGCATGCTAAAAGGAGAATCAGTTCCACTGAAGGGACCTACCCAAAGCTTTAACCTGTGAATCTCCAGCATGTCCAGCTTTATTGCAAATTTCCAACTTCAGCCTGGCTCAGTAGATGGTACTCTCACCTCTGAGTCAGAAGGTTGTGGGTTCAAGCCCCACGTTGAGACTTTGAAATTCATAGTTTAGCCTAACAGTCCACTGCAGTCCTGGGGTACGCTATATTGATTGAGATATCGCCCTTCGGATGAGATGTTAAACTGAGGATCCCATCTGCCTGGTTAAGGCGACGTTAAAGAAGCCACTGCACTCTTAGAAAAGAGATGAGATTTTCTCTCAGCGTTCTGTCCAATAATTCCCCAAATAAAATTGGTTATCCACTTCATAGTTGTATGTGAGACATTACTATGTGCAAATTGGCTGCTGCGTTGACCTACAAAACAGTCACTCCACTTGCCAGTAGAGTTCTGTGAAATGATTGAAGACATTCTGCTGATGTGAAAGGCATGATATCAATTGCAAGGTTGGTTGGGGACATTTTGAATTGTGCTGCTGGGCATGCAGATTTTATGGCTCCAAATTACTGCTAAATGTAAAACAAAATAAAGTTAAAAATAAGTTACAATGGCTAGGTTTGAGAAGTAAATACCCCTCGCTACATTGCAATCTAACACGATCCTGAATCCTTCACAATATGGATATTGACCAAACTAAAACACTGCAGTGCATGATGGACTTGTGTAATGGGGGAAAGTAATCAACGAAGAACTGCTAGCAGACGGTTGTCCCATTGTCTCAGGCTGATCTTTGCATACCATGGCAGATTATTTAATGAAAGTTAAGCAATACTCATATTTTTAATTCCATGGTCCTTGTCTAGATAAGCATACAAAATCTGCTCTTTAAGCCTCAAGTCCAAGAAGCATTCATTCATTCTCAAATGGAACAATATACCACTTTGATACCACCTTCTAATTTTTAGGCTTTTCTAGTTCTCTACGGTAACTAACATCTTCAAAATGTTTCTTTGCTACTTTGCACAAGGCACTCAGCTGCTCATTAATTGTAACTCAGAATAAAAGAATTGTAGTGAGATGGAGAGGTACCTGAATCCAATGATAGGGCATTCCTTGCAGATATTGCACTTGGCCTGGTGTTTGGCAGTCTCAGCAGCTGCCACTCTGTGCAGCACTGGCATCCAGACCATAGACTGGGGTTCCAACCTCATCCAGTCCAGGAACAAGGCTGCTTCGATATCTGGCTTGTTGTTTGCCTGAAGTTGGAAAGAAAGAAAGTCATTTTATTTAGGATGATGCTGGCACATATTTTCCATTCAGCAGTTTTATATTATTCGGGGAGGAGGGGGAAGGGAAGGCATATACATAACAGGGGAAAAAATAGGTTCAATCATAAACTTTCATCTAATAAGATTTTTCTTTACATTGGATGATGAGAGCACCAAAAGGTATGTTTGCTGATTCAACAGCACGAGTATGGCCGGTTCATTGCAAAATGCTCATCATGGAAGATGGTAAAATGTATGTGGATCATATTGCGTTCTATTGAAAACAGTAACAGTGATGATCACAAAACATGTGGTGAATAGATCAAAAAGCAGCTTTCAAAGAAAGCCCTAAACTAAGCAATATACTTTTGCAACTCAAAATCCAAATGCAAACTTCCACTTATTACGAAATCTATGGTGCAATACCCTTTCTTTTGTATAAACTATTCCATTCAGAACAAAATATTAACAGTTTGCTGTTAGAACTGAAGTTGGAAATTTACACATTCTGACAGCACAAACGTTAAGGTCATTTGGGGGTAATAAACAATTAATTGCCCCCAATTGGCTTTATCTCGTGTGCTGTCTGAATGCAACATACTTAATGCAACAACTGAGCTTCTGCTACATTTCCAATAGCAGTACATGTGGTTATGCTGGTATAAATGTAATATAAATGTGAGAATAATTAGGAAAAGAATCAGAAAAATTGACACCCAGCTAATTTTCCATTTTGTTAAACCTCTATTCATGGTTTCATTCCTACAGCATTTCACATCTACAAGAATGTGGATTTTAATGAACACAATTCCAAATTACATGCATTTTTTATCTAAGAGGATTTAAATGCAATTTTTTTTTGCATTCGTAAGGCATATGGTAAGAAGCTTATATCTTGCTCCATAGTTTAGACTTTAGAGCAGGTGCTGTAATCTGTATAATCCCCGTTCTATCAAAACCTCAGGCTCAGATGTTACAGCAGGATAGGAGTTGTATAGTACATCAAAAATCCTCTGTCACACCACCAGAATAACAATAAGTACTTTTTTTCCCTGTGAAACTAATAAGCTAGATTTGCTTTTTATTTTACAAAGCACACAGGAAGATCTTATATTACCTAGGTTGTAGGTATAATACCTTACTCTAGGTTTTCCAGTTTCTCATTCTTATTCTTGCATCACACCCTAAAGATTAACTCCATGATCACAAGAGAGGTTCAGATGAAGAAGGATGTTCAGCTAATTTGATCCCACCCCACCAGGAAACGCAACCTCTGAGCGCAGCATCAAACTTTTTTTTAAAAAAAGAGAACTTCTCCACTATCCTGGCCTCTACCACCTTTCCTGGTAACCTGTTGCAGTCAGTGATTGATTTCTGCGTAAATAAATATTTCCTGGTATTTATTCTGCAATTGCTCTTTGCAGTCTTGTAAACCTCTATATGGTTCCCTCCATATGGTTGCCTTTAAAGACTAAGCTAGCTTGCCTAATTGGCAACAACAACAAAATTACATTTGTATAGCGCCTTTCACGTTAGGAGGATGTTCCAAGGCGCTGGACATTGTACAGCATTTCAGACCCGAGCTGGTGTCAGGGAGGGAGAAGGGAGGGGAGGAGGTGTGACCGATGGCATGGTCGAACAGGAGGGTTTTTAGGCGGGACTTGAAGGAGGCTAAGAAGAGGGCGAGGCAGAGTGATTGTGGGATGGAATTCCAGAGGTTGGGGGCTCTCCCGCCAATGGTGGGAGAGGTGGGTCGGGGGAAGTGGAGCAGGCCGGAGCCGACTGAGCGGAGGCCTGGGTAGTCCTCTTACATTACGATGCTCTGACTGAACAGGAGGAGGATGTATGGGAATTTGAACTCCACTGATTTGGTAATAGAGCCCAGCATCCTGTTTGCTTTGTTCATTGCTGCCTCACATGGTTTTGCCTGAAATGATTAATTGTTAATAATGATAATATTATCAGCTAACCCACATACAATTCCTACCACAAAATGTCTCACAAGCTAGCATCAAACTCTGAGAACAACCAGTTCAACAAAGTGTTAAATAGCACCAGTCCTTTGCTGATATTCAGGACAATGCTGCGGTGGACACCAGTAGCTCATTTGGGTCACAGTTTGTCACGGAGAAATGGGAGTCACAATACTATTTCCATAGAAGGCCCCTTCAGAAAACAAGCAGCTTCTTTGTCACAACAAACTACCATTGCCACTTGAATGAACAAAAACATCTGTTACTGTCGCAGGCAATAGCCACCAATTTTATTTATTGCCTTACTGACAATGGCTGCATAAGGAGACCTAGCAGTACCAATTGGACTAATGTTTACAAAGGTGCTGACTAAAGGACACAGAAGTGATTAGATGTCAACATTTGCACTCACAGTCAGATACATTGGGTCTCTACTTCATTGCAAGGTAGCAGAGTGTAGAGATAAATGAGACGGCAAGTAGACATAGAAAAGCCTGGGTGAAAATTGTCTTTCAATTCACTTAGAGCTGGGAAAAGTAAATCTTTGCGCACTACACTCATCTAAATTCTGTCCATGAAAGGGATACTTGCTCAAGTCAAATTGGATATAAACTAGTTTTTTTTAAAACTAATGGAAAATGTATTGCCACAGCAGCAACCAGCTGATCTCCTGTCTACATGAAATCTGTTTCCACACAGTCTGTAGATTTATAAATTATTGAAAGAGCGAGGCAAAGGTCGAAACTAATTTCTTAATGTAAAAATGTACAGGTGACTTAGTTTCTTATTGTTGTTTGTAGTCTCATATAAAACAAACGCCCTCTGAAACTTGCTCAAGAATAAGAAAAACTGAAATCCATTTGATAACCTGTCAGCAGAACCTTCCTCTTTCTTTCTCCAGGGATAGGACATAGACTAACTGCACCATCAAAAGATTAAGGGAATCAATTAACCACTTTTAGATTAAAACTCAAGACGTTTTTATATACATATGAATAAATCTTTAGATTTCACATGCATTTTCTGTAATCCATCTAAATTTCTCTGAACTATTCCAGATTATTCTGAGTTTTTCCCCACCTCCTGATACACATGGATATTTGAGAAATCTAGAAGACATGAAAAGCGCTATATCAAATGCAAGGATTATTATTGTTATTATGTGTATCCACTGGATTCATACATTCATTTGTAAAACGGGTCCAAGAAAGGAGACATCTTTGAGATAGTAATTAATGACTGGATCAGGTTACCAGGAAAAACGAAGGCCAGATCAGTGGAGCAATGAAAAGTCAAAGTGGGTAAGGTGAGTGAACCCCAATCCCAGAAGTAGAGGGATGGAGCAGAGATACCATAGGATCAATCTTTGGATTTGAAACGAATTCCAATTAATTGGATTTGAACTGCATATTAAAGAATTCTGTTCAGCAATCCCATGAAACCTTGTTGTTGCTTGGTCTGCTGGGTTCAATTGCTCAGTGGTTTGGTTATTAATGAAGCAGCACAAAACAACCAATCTCTGGGTCATTAGGTCTCAGCTGAAGTCACTTCTTGCACAACGGATACAGGAAGCAGCACTGATATCACTTATTGCATGTTTCACATGTGCCCTGTGCACAAGAAGCTCCACTGACATCACCTTTTTTTGCAAAGCAAAATCAGTGGGTCAATAGACTTGTATTAGCAAGGCCACGCTATAGTGAAGAATGCTACAGCAGGATTCCCTTGTGTTGAAAATTAGAACCCTATTGTCTGAAGTAGTCCATTTCTGTCACAAAATGATATAAGCACTAAAAGGACACTGACAGGTACTTACAAACTGGAAGCAACTTCGAACACTAGGTTCAATGTTGCTTCCTCCGAAAGATGCCACCTCTCCTAGTTGGCGTGGAACCTGAATAGCATCGTGCAACAAAAGGCCCAGCCTGCGCTGATCACAGAATCCAGTGGGACTTGCCACTTGCTTGAACAGATCTGCGGAGAAGAGACATATATATTAGTGAAGCAAACCACTTTAGTTTGAAGGTTCAGTCTAGGACACCGCACTGTAATGACAAAAGACCAAAACAACAAATGCTATTAACCCCGCTCTACAGGATTCAATTCACGTAGAATTAAAATTAACTGCTTATGCAAACGAAACTGCTTTGTGTATCCTACATTGTACAGCTCAGTATCATTTGGATTCCATCTGAAATTCACTCATCCAACACCCATCCTTACGCCAGTTACTCTTTTCATTCAAAACGGGCACCTGGAGTCAAATTGATTAAAAGTTCCAATAAACTGCAGCCCAGCAACACCACTAAATGCTATGCATGCATTGGTGGCGATCTACATTCGTGTGCACAAAGTGTAATTATACCACTGATTTGTTCCTATTTAAATTAATCTGTATCCACATTTGGACTTTCTTTTTCTTGTTATGTAACCACGGAGGGCAACCCAAATGAACTGAGTAAATTTGTAAGACTCATTCAAACTGCAATCAAGCTGCCTGTTTAAAAGGGGATTACACTCAGAGAATTCACTATACTTTGCCAGCTTTTCTTGGCTTCTCATCTCCCCTATTATAAGCTGTTCAGAAATCTGGTCCTTTTTCACTCTGTACAACATCTGATTCTCCAGCTCAATAAACAAGCATACTGTGCACTGATAAAAAAAATGTTCAGGACTTGTCGAGACTCTATTTATTGCAAAATGTCTTAGCTATAGAGCAGGAATTCATCTTCCTCAGGCCAGGTGTGCAAAGCAGCAGAGACTTTTGCCAAAGCTGTGATGAACTGTATATTCTGAAATTGGTGAAATCTATCAGCAGTATAAGTCAGTACCAGAGGAGTTCAAACAGTGTCATGTCTGGCTGCTGGATCACTCTATCAAAGTGCCAATTGAAGAAGAGCACATAATGGAGTAAAGCAGTTTCACTGAGCAGTTTTGTGCTAATGCAATCGGGTTGCTCTTGCCATTGATGCATCTAATTCTTTACAATTAACCTTCCTCGCAGCACAGATACAGGACGTCATGGGAATCATAGAATCATTTGGCACAGAAACAGATCATTTGCCCAATCAAGTCTATGCTGTTTTTTTCCCCCACATGAGCCACCTATTGTAATCCCATTCTCTTGATCACACCGTTCACATTCTTTTTTCTGAAGCATCTGTCTAATTCCCTTAAAATAATTTATGGTGTGGGCTCTGCTTCAATATTTGTGAGAGAAAATTTCACATTCCAACCTCTCCCTGTGTTAAGAAATATTTTATTATCTGCACTTTAATATTTTACATTTTTGTTTGATTTTAAATGTGTGCATTCTTGTGACAGACTTGCTGACTGGTTGAACTGGATACTAACATTCTACCACAATAATAATAATATTCACATTTTGATATAGCGCCTTTCACGTCAGAGATTCACAGGATTCACTGTAAAGTGGCATGACTTGTGTGTTTTGTGAGCGAGTGTTTTGTACTGTGAAGGTTCATTACATTTTGTACTTTTTGGAGGGTGGTTTCATACAACCATGAGTACAGTGAATGAAGCCATTCCATAACCATTAATACGAAAGTCTACAACCCTGGGTACAGTGAATGACCAGTATCATCAATGTTAGTTAACAGAAATGAAACATAGAAATACCATTTACTTCAGAACTGAAAACACAAGAAAGCAATCCGAGGATAATAATTGGTTTCACTAACTGGAAAGCAATTAAAGAGGCACTCAAGGTAAAACAAAATTTAGCATGGACAGGGAGATGCAACCATCCATGTATCAGCTCTCCACGGTCACAAATGATCTCATGATACATATTAACTCCATTTGTGCCTTCAGGCAGTGTATAAAGGCTTACCAATAATTTGCACTTAAATAGTGTCTTTCTCTCAGATAAATGTCTCAAGTGCTTCATAACAACAATGGGAATCACCAGGCAGAGAGAAAAGTGGGAATTTGAGAAGGTTGACTGAGGAGACTGTCAAGGAGACACATTTTAAAAAGGATCTTGCGATCAGTGAATTTCTAAGCACCTCATGAAAATTATGCTATTTAAGATATCATCATTACTACGAATCTCTTATAACCAAATGAATACCTGTGTTTTACAAAACACACTGTGAGAATGTGAAAAATGACATGGGGATCTATGTCTTGCTATTCCATCAACAGTCTATGATCGTACTTTAAAATAGAGACATTCCAGGAATCTGAACAAGCCGGCCATGTGCCTCTACTATAGACAGAGCTGAAACTAGGCACCATCAAGTTAGCAACTATCTGCTGAAGGTTCAGTATGAAATGAAACTTATGGGTTGCTGGGGCACGTCAGTCTCAAGCTGGTATAAATTTTGTATTTATTTTAATATTTAGCAAAATACTGTAACATTTTTTGCTTCTGTACTTGTTCTAAATTTAAAGTTCTGCCTGTTCTAAATTTAAGAGGAATACAAGAATTCTTGTCTGCTGATCTGAACTGTAGCAATAGTTTCAGAGTCTCAGTGTTTGGGGGATAGGGGAGGGGGAGAGCAAGGAGAATCAGCCAGGGTCTTTGTTCTGATCACAGGTAGAATTCCCACTTGATGCTGAATAAAAAGATCTCAGCCAGGGTAGCAAAAGAGGTGCTGCAAATGGTATCAGTGTCCCTTGGCCAAGGAGGGGTGAGAGAAAAATAAGAGTTTCCACTTATGGTCACTGTCCACTAATCCTCTACTGAAAAATGTAAGAATGTGTATGTGTTTGTAAATATTGATTGATGCTGGGATCAAACTTGGTTATGGTCAAATTGCATAGTCGGCTCATAAAGCCTAGACACTTGGCGAGGAATCAGTAAGATGCGAGCATACAAAGAACCATACCCCATTATGAATCAGTGCCTTCAGGGCAGCAGAGTAAACTGGATGATGAAAATTATTTTAAAAAGGTGCTATGTTACTTTCAACTATTAACATTACAAACTTACAGCGGTACTTGTCCTCCAGGTGTGCTTTGCACAGAGACATGATGCCAGTTTTGAAGGAAAGGACACGAATCTTCCCTGTTCGGCCACTAGGAAAAAAAGCAAATTGGAGTTTAGGAAATGGGCGTTTCTCTGAAACACTTCCATTGCACTCAATTCAGTTTTGTTCACAGCGAATTGTGTTTCCAGTATTTTTTGTTGTGGCGGAAGACACAAATGTATTCTGAGCAAAGCAATTCAACCAATGTTTTACAAGAATTGGTGAGGACTCAACACAATCCCATGAGAACGAGCGAGAGAAACACACTCAACTAGTCACCAATCAGTTTCCTACAAACTTACACTATCATAATCCGCCCACATTTACATGTCACTGGCTAAATAAAACAGTCCCACCGAATAGATCCCACTTTTCTGTCTTGCGATTTCACAGCTGAAGTGCATTGATATAAATCAGAAGTTATATAAATAAGCCTGTTCAAGTGGATGTTGAAAGATCGCATGATACTATTCAAAAAAGAGAATGAAATTTCTCTTGATATCCTCCAGGTGAATTGGGCATTCAGCTCATGACTATTTTGGGAGTATTGGGCGTCTCAGCTGTGATCAGTGGTGGCCAAACCATGGCCTGCAGGCCAAAAGTGACCCACTGGCCTGTCAAGAAATAGCCCGCCGAACATTCTCACTAGTCTAGGTTAGTCTGTTTTAAATCAATGTTTTGTTCCCATTTTTTTCTTGATTCAGTATTTCTTGATTTATGACATGAATCAAGAAATATTCAATATTCAAAGAAAAATAATTTTGTTGGTCAAACTAAAAGGTTGACCACCACTAGCTCAGATTATCAATTCAAATACCCAGCTTCGAGCTTATAACCTGATACCTTACGCTTCGAAGGCAAGATTGCAACCAACTGAGTAGTCTGGCACACAAAGGTTTCAAGAGGGATTTGAAGATAGGGAGTGAGAATGCAAGACAAGTGATTTTGAAAGCACACTCCAGAGGACAGGGGCAAGCGTTTGAAGGTTTGGTCAACAATTGTTGGATGGCAGGAGAGTGGAACAAGCAGTAAAGCACAACAGGCAACTTCCCTATAACTCAATGCAAGGATACAATTTGTTCAGTGAAATTCAGCTACAAGGAGCAGAGCTGTGCAAAGGAGCTGATTTCAGTTGGCTACAATCAATCTCAGCTTCCCGAGCGGGAGCAGGCAATGAGTGCCCACCTAAATGGGACTCCTGCTGGAAGTGCCATTGGCTGAGGATAGGGCACGCCTGTTAACATTCACTATCCTGGCTCACACATGAAGAATGGTCATTTGGGCTCCTGGATGGGAACTAAACCCCACTGTGAAATTGCACAGGGGAACCAAGACTAGAAGGGTATTTAATCTTAATTATTTAGTTTCCTGCTCAGAAGACATGCAAAGGGCTTGGAATTGAATAATTCAGACTGAATCTCCAATCATAGTTTAAATCTCTACATCTCTAGAAGCTTGCAGTCACACTCTTTCATCAATGTGGTTACAGGAACTCGATCAAGGAATTTGCAATTGAAGGATATACAGTGAAACCATTTGCATGCAGGAGATAGCTCAGAATGTATAACTTTATGTGGATGCTACCAGTATCTCAGCCAAGGATGTAATGGAGTTAACATTTAATATTCTCTGAATCCCTCAGAATGCAGCCTCTCCAATATAGGCACTTCCAGGTGGGGCAGTCAACTGCTGGAATGGATACGACCAACGATAAGTTCTTAATTTGCACAGAAATTGAAACAGATATCACACTAACTGTCCTTCTCAGCAGTTCTTTACTGAATAGAGCGCCTACATTTAATACTGGGGCTTTCATCTGTTCCAAGGACACCAAACTACCCTCAGAATCACCAAACAACCTTAAGTAGGGTGTTCACAGAAGTACTCAAGAGCGATAAGTGCAAAGATATATTATAGATGTTGTGGACTACCTAGCATTCACAGATCAAAGAGCAACAAAGGCTGCCAGAGCTCATTTTACCCTCAAATTCATGGTACTACAATTGAAATCTCTTGTAATCTGCTTGATTCATCTTAAGAGCCTGTGCAATGCTGTGATTACATTCTGCACTGCACAGTAGCTTGACTGCGTAATAAAATATAAACATGGAATTGCTGAAAAAGATAGCCAGAACATTAGAAATTTCTCTTTAGTGCAAGAAACAATCAAATGGTAAAATTCCACCTTGAATGTTTGGAGGGAGGTTCTCAAACACATCCACAGGCTAATGAAACAAATATTTAAATTGCTGATTATGTATATTTAAGGCACCTCAGCTTGATTGATTTTTGTTTGAAGTCTTAAACAGCACAGTTTTCATAAAAACTGTGTTTGTTAAAACTAATTTATTAGGAGAAAAGTGCCAGAAAGTAATTTCATTGCAAAGACAGCAAGCCAAAAAGATTGTGAAGATTCACAATTTGATTCACTTTATGGCATCTGGTTTGTAAATGAACAAAAGCTGTGCCTCACGTTACCCCCCCAAAAAACACTACTTCTTCACTATTTCTGCAGTTTTGATTTTAGAATAGTTGTACTCCACATCTGTAAAACAACAAGTCAGAATTTCATCAAGGCACGTTTTTTATCCCCCCAATGGTTTGTGGCGACATGCTTTGCTTAGTGTTTCTAATGCGAACAGTGGCCTTCATAAGCACATCCCTGGGTCTGGGTCTTTTCCAGACATAAATATCAGGGTCTCATGGTATGTACTCTACATCCCTTTCCTCCTGTATTGGTCGAGTTGTTGTTAAACTGTTCAATACATACGTGTCATATACATTCAGGAGCCAGTTAAGACACATATCCACACAGAGAGGCACATTGACAAGGTTGCTGTGTTCCTGCTCCAGTCGATCGTAGATTGTAGTCAGGCAGTTAATTATCTCCATAATGTCCATTAGTTGATCGTTTTGCTTCAGGTTGCGCTGGTCAAAGGCCTCACATGCACTTGGCAGAGAGAGCAAGTCCACTGTGCAGAAACAGGAAAAACTATTAATTTCACCGTTTTGTCTTAAAAAATGTTAACTTCGTGGCAATCCTTGACCTTAAACATGATTTTACTGTGAGTTACTGTTGTAGCAAAACTAAATCTATACCTGTCTTGTAAAATAATATGAGCCAGTATAAAGGTGTCCAGCACACACATTAAACTTAAGGTCAGTACCTAACAGCAACGTAACTACATACTGCTTCAAATGATGCTTGAGAAAAGGAAACACATCTGTGATTAACCTCCTCTTCGTCTATCTACTAACAATATAAAAACACAGAAAATATGGGTGTAATGCTCAGTAACAATAAAGCATGAAACATAAAGCTTTAGTACTCCATGATCTGATTTATCCTCAACGTTCCCCCCCCACTCTATTTTATCCGAGAAAATGAGCTGCTGCTTTAACAACAACTGTATTTATATAGTGACCCTCACGCAGGGCAGCGGCACAGAGCGCTTGATGGTGGCGGAGCACAACGCCAAGCTGGGGGAGGTTACCAAGGCACTATCGAATAGGAAAGTCTTCAGGCAGGACGTGAAGATGGGGAAGGAAGGGGCAAGGCAAAGAAGATAGAGGAAGAGTGCTCCAGAGTTTCGGGACGCAGGGGACAAAAGCGCTGCCATCAATGGCGCAAAGGAGGGTACGAGGTACATGCAGAAGCCGGAGCCAGTCGAGCGGAGTGTTGCTATCAGTGTTCTGACAGAAAATCGGCAAAAGTACAACAATCCCAATGTTCTTTCAGCACTTTGCTGTTGTTGAAACCTGTTGCTATCAAAGGGACATTGCCCTGCGACAAGTATCATAAGCATAGGCATGCATAGATGTGGGATTGATGACACCATGACATAACCATATCACTGCTCATGCTCATCATAACAAACAGTTGAACTTTTACAATTAAGATTTCCCAATGGCTTTCATTCAACAGGGGCTTCATTAGGATATTACAATGGCCTTTGTGGCATTGGCCAAGGGAGGAGTAAACACATGAAGAAGAGCCAGCCTCCTGAGCAGCCGTAGGGAATGGAAGCAACTCACCCACCCCAGTCAGCTCCTTCAGGAGTGGAGGAAAGGGAAAATGGGATAAGAAAAGCTAGAATCTTTTTAAAATAAGTTAATGTCCCCTTCCTATTTGCTTAAGCAAATTGCTAAAGGCGTCGTCATGGCATGAGCTAACAGAAGAGGCCAGCATGGCTCATTTCCAGCTGAATGACCAGAGCTGGATACTCCTGTTTGGCTTTGGTAAAAACTGAGCCTGCCTGAGAAGGTCCCCAGAATAAATCGCATTAATCTCCGAACCTGCAAAACCTTGGGATTATGGATTTGAGGTTCATGAGCTGTTGCCTCGTGAAACATGACAGTAATAACAGTAATAATGCTGTTGAGCTTTCTGAAATACAGTCAAAGCTTAACACATTAAAACTGTAACTCAGCAGCAGCAGCAGCAGGTAAAATGTCTGGCGCAGAGAAAGGAAGTGGCAGATTTAGATTTACATTAGAAAAGAGGGACGACAGAGCAATAGATCAAGATAAAGTGTTATCTGGAATGAATTATAAATTTTGTTTTTCAATGTATGTGGCTGCCCAGTAACTAAATGATGCATGCTCCTCCAATACACATAAATCACGGGTGAGCCATTGAACGGGCACCATGTTCCGATATTATTTTGATGTTATTTTGTGTTCCTCTAATGGACATAAATCAGGAGCAAGCTGCTTCAGTGGATCTCTTTATTTTATTTAATTAATTGAGTCACCTTTTCAAACCTTTTTTCCAGAAGAGGGCATCTGCATTAATTTGCTGGCGAATAAAAAAATTAACTACGTCAGGATGCATGTCTTGTCAGACATCAGCAATCAACAGACCATTTGTTCCGCTGGCTCCCTTGGGGGGGTACTGAGAAAGACAGTTCTCCTAATACCGATTTATTAGAGGAATTGGAGCCATAGTAGAGGTGCCGTAAGACTTCGATCTCTGGGCTCACAACTGATAGTGAGTTCCCCTTGAGAAAAATAATCAATGATAATTAAAGGATTCCCTCAAGCGGCTTGGAGGTTAGTTCAATTTAGTATGCAGCTTTTAAATGGACCAAACTTCAGGATGCCATTCACAATTACTTGAAAATCTATGCAGGCTCCAATAGGGGATGTAACATTAATCTGGTAAACTAGCTAAACGCGAGTACTTTATTTATTACATAGAATATTACAGCATGGAAATGGATCATTCGGCCAACTTACCCCTCCCTCCTACCTCTAACACCTCTCTCTGTGTCATAAAGAATAGACATAAACAGTCTTGGTGTTCAAGCTGCCTAAACATTTTAGAACCACTCTCAATCATTTTCTGATTTTGTTCAGATTGTCAACTGTTTGTGGGAAGTTGCTTTGTGCAAATAGGCTGCTGTGTTCACCTGGTCACTCTATCTCACAGTAAATCCTGTGAAGCGATCTGAGACGTCCTCATGTGAAAGGCGCTGTATGATTTTACATTAATGTAAAAATAATAAACAAATCGAATTTTTATTTTGTTTTTAGAAAGAGTCCACAAAGTTTTTAGATGAAAGACTGAATTCATCTCCTGACATGTCCCAGTCTTAGAGGTCGAATAGTGAAGAATGTTTACACTGGAGCCCAGTGTCAGTGTTAATATCATGTGACTGAGTGTTAACATACATACCAATGGCATGTCAAGTCCTGTGTTGCTATCAGACAGCCAAGTATTAATTTTTCTGGTCTCCCCAGCTCCATCATTCATGACATCTAATTTAAAATGCCACCCCCTACCCTCACCCACACCAAATTCCATACCTTCATCACCTCAAGTGCAGAATGGATCAATTTCAAGATCCTCATACAAATCACTTTGTTCCCTGGTACCTCCCAATCTCTCCAACCAGCTTTCACCCCACACCTCTACCCTCCTACTTCGCTCAGCTGGCTCCAGTTTTCTGCACATCCCTTGTCTGCTCCTTGTCCCGCAACTATGCAAAAGTGAACTCTCTTCCTCAATCCCTCTGCCTTGCCAGTCTTCAGATCACACCTGAAGATTTTTCTCTTCGACCGTATCTACAGCCACCGACCCCTCCTTTCCCAGGCTCTGAGTCAAGCTCTGCTACTGTTAAGCGCTCTGAGATGATACCCAGCATGAAGAAAGCTATATAAAATGCAAGTTGCTATTCGTAATGTCTTGTTCTACATGTTACCCATATCCTCACTCACAGTCCAATGCCAGCGCTAATGTCCTGCAACTGAGTTTTACCAGATAGTCCAGTGTCCATATTAATACCATCTGTTACCCAGTTTGTGCTAAACAGGAGTGTTTTGAAAGCAGGGAGGAGAAAACAAAGAAAACTTGAAAAAGAGTTCAATGTGTACTCATTAAACATACAAAGAAAATGATTTCTTCTTGCTACAGAATTATCAAAAGGCTCAAGTGAGCCAATACTGGTTTTAAATTGTGGAAATTATAAGAGGCATGAAATTCTACCTAGTCGGTGAATCCATTGAGACTTAAAATAGACCATTGAACAGAATTGTAATTTTTTTTAAATCCAGTCATAATTCAGAAGATTTTCCCTCATTAGTTACAAAGTGGCTTCTAAATTATATCTGAATTTGTAATTCTCCACAATCTTCATTTTTAAAGCCGAAATGGTTGTGCAAGGCAAGTTGGAATTGTGGTTTGGTCCACATTCCTAGCCAACTTCCAGGAGCGAGCAAGCACACTGGTAACAACCCCCAAATAACTCATGTGACAGGCATTCCACTCATACTGTTGTAGCTCACAAGCTAAAGCTGTGCTTTCTACCTTGTGAACTGTATATCATCAGAACAATTTGTTAATGCTGACAACATTTTGTAACAGAACAATTGCAGTAAAAAAATGGAAAGAAGCAACAAACAAACACTGTAAAACTAATGCCAGAAATAGATTAATGCTGCAGTGCTCCACAAAAAAATTATTTCAGGCTAAAGATAAAGAAGCCCATCTATTAAAATGTTTCCTTTATAGCACTATTACAGAAGGTCAATAATGACACATTGGGCTCACACCAATGGCCTCTGAACTTGACCCTAGGGTTTGGGCTCTGTAACTGGTGGAACCTCAGAGTCAAGAGTAGAGGTCATCTGCTGGAATCTTTCCACATTGCATCGTGATATTGATCTTTCTTGTGAATAGTTGAAAATTTTCATATAAAACGCAATAACTCTTTTTTCTAAATATTTTTGTTTATATTTTTGTGAGAACTCTGGAGCACTACAGCTTTAAAAAATAAGCAATGATTGGACATCAGTGAGAAATTGTAATTTGTGAGATCGTTAAACAATGCTGTAGATTAGTAAACAGAAACATGCAACTGTATAAGACTACACTTACAGCAGAGAGCTTTCTGCAGTCTTCGCAGCTTCATGGCAGTTCTGTACGCAGAAAACCTGACATTATTCAGGTCAGCTGTAGAGTAAGATACAGAGAGGGGCTTTCAATGAGGTTTAGAGCACAACAGCAGTAAACTCACAGCACTCTTGGCCTTTGAGCAGTAACAGAATTTCAGGGTTCAAAACACACTCCTCCTTTAACATACCTTATTGAGGATATTCTATAAATTTTGGCTGACTAAACTTATAAAAGTAGAACTACAGAAATGTACAGACCAACATATCAGAGAATAATGGAAACCTGGGATGGATTATAGAATTGTAATTTTATCAATGAGTTCGGCACTAGAGCAAAGTTCAGTCTTTTGTTCGTAACCTAAACCCCGATATTCCAGCCTTCAAATCACTCTCACATATATGATATGTTTTAACAATTCATTCTGTAATGTTTCAAGGGCAGTTTTATTTGGTTTAGATTTTTTTGGTTATTACCATGTGGTAGTATGTATGAGTTACTGACCGCCAGTTGCGCTCTGCACGGTTGATGTTAACCTGATTTGATCAGTCAATTTAAATTTTGGCCAGGCCTATCCATTTGGAACAAAGTAAAATCCCAGGAGTTCAGTTCTCAACACTCTGAGAATAGCACGTCATTCACAGCTATTACAGGTCCCAAGTTAGATTGATTTCCAGCAGTAGTATACTCATCTAGGACCAGGCAATGCTACATTCACTACAAAAATATTCAAGCTGTCCTTGCTTTAACTTACTCATCCTATTAACTTCAAAAGCCGGCCAAATTCTGGAAGTTTTTTTTCTTGATCTTTAATGTGGATTGATATTAAGTTTTTAATTCCAACACATTGCTTTAGGGAAAACTGTACTTTAGTTAGAAAGTTAACTCACAGATCTAAATGAAATGTACTTTAAGCTATAAAGTGGAGTAAATCAAAGGGAAATCAGAGAAACTTCTTAAGATGACTCAACTCTCTGAATATCTTTCATAAAAGTCAGGATGAAATTTGTGATGTGTATAAACAGAACAGGCCCGTAAATAGGGTTGAGAACATAACCGTCTACGTTAATTGTGTTTTCATTGATCTGAATTACTGCCCTAGGGNAAAAAGAACATTATTAATCTCCCATTAAATTCAAAGCTCTAATTCACTACTCAACAATCACACAGCAGTGAACATGGTGTTTTTCCCAACTTCAGTGTCGGATTTTTAAAAAGTTTACGTTTTTATTGTGTGAGATACTGTATTTCAGATTAAGTTATTGCTCATTATACACTGACATTTCACTAGAACAAGCATTATGATGTCATTTTTCTGTATAATTTCAGGTAAATGTCAGCCTCATTGACACAGAATATATCTTGTGCTTGAAGCTTTAATGACCAAAATTCCTCTACGTTGTTTAGATTAACCTACCCTATTTCTTTGCTCTGCAGCATCCTCATAGTACTTATAAATCTGCCATTCTTCAAAACTTGCAAAACTCCTACTTTTTATGACATTTCATTCAAGCCACATGATTTACAAAATTCAATGTCATATTACATTGGGAAAATATAGAAATCACAAAAAATCTCAGCCAATATAACAAAGTATACAAAGGTTACATATGGTAGGTTACTACCAAGGGAATTTTAAGATGTTAAGACATTTTTAAAACTCATTTTGTATGTTTACATTTTCACAGCAGATCTTTCAAAAGTCTGTGGGAAATCTGAATGAGAATTTCATACAGCAACACTGGCAGTAAAGAAAGGCATGCAAATAAAATGACCTTCATTGGAAAATAAGGGGTTAATCATTCCCAAGTTGCTGAGAATGGTGAGAAAATCCGTCCCCCCTCTCCCAATTCAGAGATCCAGGACCCTGGGTTGTGAATACTACTGTGCAGATTGTAAATTTGCTGTCCTTCTTTGCAAATGCCTTCATAAGATATGGTGCCCTTCTGCTGTTTCGTGGCCCGTGCCTACTATTAATCATACACTGAAAACCCAGACTTTAACTTCATAGCTAAAATAGATCATGATTTGAGTTGTCTGATATTTCAGAATACTGATCATATTTATAACTAGTTCTGGGACATTTTATAATAGCTGAGTTTCCATTTCATAAATTGTCCTTTAATGCTGCAAACTAAGCTCATTGTATGTAGGCTCATTCACAGACTGCTAAATTCAGCAATCATAAGTCTGTACCCAGTATTTTTTCCCCGAAGGTTTCTTCTTCACAACAGCCAACTTATTACACATTATGACAGCACATTCATCAAATTGAAAAACACAGTGGGTTCCTTACCTAACGACTGATAAAGCTCAGTCATCTTGGGGTGATCCCAGCAGGTAGTCTGGGTCTGGTGGCTGAAAGAAAAGCAGGAAAGGAAAAAAAGCATAGGAATGAGCTGAACCTGAACAGATAAAAGCTGTATCTTTGCATAATGAGAGCTAAATCCTCAAATATTTCTTCTGCTTGACCTTTTCATTCTTGGATTGCCGCTTAACTAATCCAGGAAGCTTGGGGGGGGGGGGGGGGGGGGGGGAGAAGGTAAAAGAAAAATCACAGCAGTGCACTTTATTCTCTTTGCTTCTTCCTTTGGCAGTTCCCAATATGTACTGAGCAGCTCGTGGGTAAGTGTAGTGTTCAGAACAAGTGAATCACTGAGAAAGCCAGCTTCTCAGTGCCTGGATTATTAGACCAGTCTTACTTTGTATGCAGACTGCATGGAGCTGCAGGTATTTGCCTTGACCTAAACAAATATTGCAGCTTTTTTTCCCCCAAAAAAACCACACAACCTTAAGAGATGACCATCAATTACACGCACACAAGCAAATGCAAAAGAAATTGGGGGAAGAGGAAGGAGAGGCAGGACTGAAAAGAGGCAAAGACTTTCCTTTGCACAATCCTCTTGGCATTTTTCAAAAGCTCTGGTTAATAGTGAGCTGCAGAGTGGGGGGGGGAGGGGGTGGGGGGGGAGAGCAGTGTGTGAAGTGGATCCACAGATCTGTCTGCTCAGCACTTCAGGCTTCCAGATCCACTTTGAAAACACAAGAGCATCTGTGAGCAAGAAAGAAGGCAACAGGGAAAAAAAAACACAAAAAAAAGGGGCAGAGGACGGGGAGGCTGGTAGTTCCCACACAGTTGCTGATCAAGGTCGTACTTTTGGAGGAGTTCTCATCCTCAGGCTTCCTTCCTTCCTTCCTTCCTTCTTTCTTTCTTTCCCTCCTTCCACTGGATGAAATCACACCTATGTTAGTACCAAACGCAGCCAACAGCAAACGGGAACACAGCTTTGGGTTATTTCGGAGTTTAGGAGGTTATTTTCTCGTGCATTCAACCCAAAACTCTGCAGAAATCAGTCATCTCCCCCTCCACCCTCCCTCCCTCCCTCCCTCCCTCTCTCCCTGGTCTGTTCTGTGCTCCAAACTTCTCAGTACCTCTCTGCGCCCTTCACTGCAGCGATCACACACACACACACACTCACACAACCTGGGACCCAACAGCGGCTCAGCCCCCGGGTGGCGAGGGTCGCCGTGTGCTCTCTCTCTCTCTCTCTCTCACCTATTGTGTGTGTGTGTGTGACCCATAATCTTAGCCTCACAGCCACGACTCCCCTTTTGCAGAGGCGAATCCCAGGCTTTACAACTTCAAACACCTGCAACAGATCCTCCATCAGGGAGGGAGGGAGGGATCTGTCTGTCTGCACCTTATCTGTGTTCCTCCATCCCCTCTCCCGAGGGTCTGAACTGCAAACCCGGCACAACAGTGTTCAAACTGCACTGACACGTTTCCCACTCCCAACTTACTGCAGTCCAGCAACTTACTGCGATAAATGAGTTGCCCTCCACCTACCCCATCAGATGCTCCCTCATTGTTAAAGCGGTGACTTGCAGCAGCAGCAGCAGCAGCGCCCTGTCTGCAGCCCTGTAAATATGAAACCGAGCACCACACAAGTGGGGAGTGGGTGGGTGGGGGGAAAAAAGCAGAGCTCTGTCTGTTTTTCTCTCTCACTCTCTCTTTCTCTCTGTGCTGCTCGCACACGGGTAGGGGAGGGAGGGAGGGAGGGAGCCTTGCAGATCAGACAAGGAGGAGCTTCCAGACCTCAAGCCTCTCCCCCCCACCACTGAACTCTCACAGAAACTCCAGTGTTCAGAGCAAGTTGGGGTGGAGGAACCCAGCAAGATCATAATGCACAACTGCCACAAAGGACAGCCCTGGGAATTAGACATAATCCTTCCAACCCTCCAGCCCTTTCTTCAAGTGAAAGAAATGGGCCGAAAAGGATCTGTAATCTTGACACCGTTCCCTCCTTTCTGATCAACAGTAGGCGCACAAGCAGGTGAACCAAACACAATTGGGACATATATACTGTACAGTATTTCCTGGGGACCTTCGCCCAACCCTTGCCTACAAATCAGGAAGGTTTTAAATCTTGAAATGCTAATTATATGTGGCTGAAACAACTTAAGCCGTGAAATCATACAGATTCAACATTTACCACTATTAGCGATTATAGAAATAAGCCTTTGCAAGAACACGAGTGACTCCTCAGTCACAAAGAGCGTTTTATAAATAGAGTTGCAATATTCACCCCCACCACCTTCTGCTCACACCACACCGGTCTAACTTTCTAACCAAAACTCAGCCCAGATCATTGACCTTCCTTCTCATATCAGCCAATTGATCTTTGAAAGAGCAAGGAGCTCAGTGTCTGGCGCAATGTCAGGAATGCACAGCAATAAGTTGTACAGTGCCATTCAAATCTCCACCACCTCCATCATCATTTAACCTCTCCCCAGACAAATTGTTCCAGCAGCTGATTGCCAGCAGTTCCTCTTGTTTCCCAGTGAAAACTACTATTACACCAGATGTCTGTTAGGTTAGTGTTTGTTCAAGTGCTCTGCAGAACAATTACTGTGAATGACATGAAAGCCAATCAGCTGTTTGGCACCTGGAGAATGTGACTAGGCTGACATGGCTGAGCAGTTAGCAGCAAACACACACTACAATGACTGCAAGTGTGTAAAGGGTGTAAGGTTTGAGTGGGGGATGGGGCATGGAGTGCCAAACTGCAGAACGATAGGTTTCAATACCACCAACTTGCTCTATGAACAGGGCTCAGGGCCGCTCCGTAATCAGGGCTCAATCTTAAGACTTCTAAAAAGCATTTGAATATTTAAGAATACGGTGAACTATGGAAATAAAATTAATGTGATTTTTTTGCTACAAGGTGTTTTGTTTTTAATAGTACACTGCACACACTTGGAGTTGTTGGAATTGTGCCCCTCCTCCAGCTCAAAGCTCAGAGAGCAGCATACACCTGTAAGGTATTGGCAGCTATGAAGTGAATGTAATTAAGGTAGTTATTTTAACAGTGGGGTGAGTAATCCATCGTCGCATAATATTGTTTCCCAAAGTATTCAAAAGAGCATCAATGCTGCATCAGTTGGACGAGTGATCCGTAAATCATTTTCAATCAACAGGAGCCGATACCAGCTTTATTTTACTGCCAATGCACCTGTTTGGAAGCCTTACATTTGCAACTGGCAGTTTTACTAAGGATACACTTTGTTGTATTATTACAATAGCAGTGATAACCATACTTATAGCAGCTGCCATTTACAATTGTCTGATCGCTCTGAGTCCACTTTAATATACAATTCTCTTCTCATGCTTTCTGGGGCATACATCCTCCAGTTCTTGCTGCCTTTCATGGGTTTGATGATAGACACAACACCAAGCTTGTTGAGTCTGTCCCATATCTTGTATTGCAGTCAAAGGAAGGAAAAGGATATCAGGGTTTGGGGCTGGGAATAGAGCTGCACCAAGCACCTCAGGCTTGGTGGTTCAGTTAAAACTGATCACAATAAAGTTCAGATTTCCTGAATCAAACTACACTACAAGAGGAACAAACATTAAACCATTCCACTGCAAAAGCAGTAACAACAGGGCTAAACAGAGCAAAGGGTTCAGATTAATTCAGGAAATACCTATTTTACGGTATATTTTATTTTACCTTTTCAAACAAAGTGCTTAATACTCAAATCTACAAATAGGATTCACCGCACATTGATATGTGGTAACACTTGCTTTAGTATCCCCTTTCAATCACTGGGTCAAAAATTATTGCTTTCTGTGCTTTTTACTTCTTCGAAATGTTCTAGCCTCCTGAAGGAAACAATTGTTCTGGGGTATAGTTCCAAGGATGCTGATCACCTTTACTACGTTGTCTGAGTAGCCTTTCGTGTTGCCCGGGTATTCATCCATGTGAGTCTTCGCAATCAAACTTGTTGTTGTCCTTACCCAATGTCCACACACACTGACTTCCCCTCTCCAAGGGTAAGGCATCAAGGCCAATTGTAACACTGCTGCCCTGGTATATGCTGAGGACAGACTGGGTATCAAATAGGCTACCTTTTGATCAGCGCAGCTTTTGTTGCAGACAGTTGGCCATTGGGAGAGGCTGGTGGGCCCTTCAATAAGTTTCTGCTTTCAGGTGTTGAGATCAGAAAAAAATATTGATTTTATGTCAGTTTTTTCTCTTTCATACGCAAGGATAATTCAACTCATTTTGGGATTTACTCACTACGTATCAAGCAAGTTTAAATGGAACTGACTTCCAACAAAAGCAACTGAAGGTGCATAGATTAACTCTTTCAAAACGGAAATAGAGAAATATATGTTTGAGAACATGATTTGAAGAGCAGATGAACAAAGGTGCATATGACACTAAGATTTCTAAATAGATGGGGCCCTGGGATGAGTGTGGAGTGTATAATAATAATACTTACATTTGATTTAGCACCTTATGACATCTTCGAGATGTCTCAAAGTGCTTCATAGAATATACTGTAAAGTGCATTGGCTGTATATTTTGTGGGCGAAACGCAACAGCCAATTGCACACAGCAGTGTCTCACAAACAGTCGTGCATTGGGTGACCAAATTATTATTTATTTATTTTTTGGAGGGGATTGTTACCCCCATGAAAAGCGATCCACCAATCAATTACAACCAGGTTTCTACTTACTGCTTGGTAAGTAGAGGCATGTGGAGTAAGGAAACTTGCCCAACATTTCACCCTGCCGTGAATCGAACCCAAGTATCTCCCTTGCGAGGCGAGTGCTCTAACCATTGAGCTACAGGCCGAAGGAAGCTTGTGTTGAATAATGTAGTTGAATGAATATTCTAGACGGACTGTGATAGCAGTGGGGGGGGGGGGGGGGGCGTGTGTTTCATGGGCCAAATGGCTTTTTATTGTTTTCTTCCTTTTTTTAATGTTCTCCAGCTTGTTAATCAAACCTGAGTTATCCAAAAGCTCCCAGACTTGCAATATTGTTAACGCATTCACTGGTCTGTGACTG